TTGTTTACTGATTATATTATCTGTGTCATTTCTGGTTTGGTTTCAAGTGATTTTCACCCCCATTATGGGTTGTATTTTCCTGCTTGTTTGCTAATTTTTTATTGGATAACAGATGCAGTGAATTTTACCTTGTTGAGCACTAAAAATGTTTGTATTTTTACAAATATCCTTGATCTTTTTTTCTAAGACACAGCTAATTTACTTGGAAACATTTTTTTTCTTTTGGGGACTTGCTTTTAAGCTTTGTTAGGTAGGATCAGAGCGGTATAAGTCTAGAGCTAATAATGTTGCCCTATAATCCTGGGGCAAAACCCTTCTTGATATTTGGCCTGATGCTACACAAACTGTGAAATTTCCTACTGTGGCTGGTGGGATCAGAAACTATTCCCAGCCTTGCATGAGCTCTGGATGTTGTTCTGTTTAACCCTTTCAGGTGGCTCTTTCCCAGCCTGGGTGGTGTTTTCTCATGTGCACGTGATGCTCGGCACCCAGATGAAGACCGAGGGTGCCCTCCGCAAGTCCCAGGGCTCTGTCCCCACCGCCCTCTGCTGTCCTGTGTGGCTGCATCCTTCACACTCCAGCCACACTGGTGTCCCTCCTTCCCAGCTCTGCCTCCCGAACTTGGAAAGGTCACTGCACTCTCTGTGCTCAATTCTTCCTGTGCCGTGGCCCGGAATCTTCCTCCATGCAGTCAGCTGGGCAGTTGTAGGACTCACTCATCTCTTCCCCGCCTCATGGGGATCGCTGTCCTTCACTGTCCAGACATTGTCCTGATGTCCAACGTCTGGGGACTCATTGTTGTAGGCGTTTTCTGAGAGTGTTTTCTGAGTTGTTTCGGAGAAGAGGGTAAAGTTAATCCTTGCTAACTCAGTCTTGGCCGGAAGGGGAAGTCCTTTAGGTTTTTATTCATACACATATGTGTGTGTTTGTATGTGTGTATGTATAAACAATGATATAGGAATATTTCATATATATGTACATACATATTATTATATAGATGGAAGGGTCTGATCGAAAAGTAACATTCTCCCACTGTGCCTTGTCCATCCACTTTGTACCTGCCCAGCCCCAAAGCTGATAAGTCCGGCACGGTTTCCTGTGTATCTCCCCGGAAGTGTTAGTGCACATACAATCCTATGTATGTCTACACATGTGGCATCACATGTTCTCACCGTTCTATGCTTTAGTTTCATCACTTATCAGCAACACAGATCTGACTTACTGGTGTTTTTTGGTTTTGTTTTGTTTTGAGACAGGTTCTGTCTCTGTCACCCGTGCTAGAGTGCAGTGGTGTCGGTTGTAGCTCACAGCAACCTCGAACGCCTGGACCCAAGTGATCTTGGGTCTGCCCCAGCCTCCCAAGTATCTCGGACTACAGGTATACACTACCATGCCCAGCTAATTTTTCTTTCTTTCTTTTTTTTTTTTTGTGCTCAGGCTGGTCTCAAACTCCTGGCCTCAAGCAATCCTCCCACCTCGGCCTCACGCTGGGATCACAGGCGTGAGCCACCTCGCCCCACCCTGACTTACTCTTTCTATGCTGGGGAGTAGTCTGTAGAATGAGCGCCCTATATTTTATTTAGCTGTCCTTTGCTCAGGGGTATTTCATTAGTTCCACTTTGTTCACTGCCACAACCAGCACAGCAACGAACACACTTCTGTGTGCGTTTTAGCACACACGTGTGCATTTATCTGCAGGTAGATTTCCAGAAAAGTGACCGGGTCACTGGACGCCAACCAGGGCCAGTGCTCTAAGCACCAGAAAGATTCCTTCTGAAAATCAAAGTGGAAAGGGCAAAGGTGACGGGAGTCCTGCCGCCAGCAAGGGCGCCACAGCACGCTGCTGGCTTGAGTCGCTCTGATGGATGGCTCCTGTCTCTGAGATTCTCTCCCTGTTCTCCCCACTCCTCCTCTCTTCAATGGTTTATCGTAATTTATCTGGTGCTCCCAGGGCCGGGCTGGCTGGCTGCTCGTGGTCTGCTTAGAGGATGCCGAGTGGCCCTGCGGCTGCGCTGAGCGCAGGGCGTGGGCTCCCTGTGGCGCGGGGCTCAAACCCAGGAGAGGCGGTTGTTGTAGCTGTTGCCACCCACCTTCTGTCCCAGGCCCCCAGGAAATGTTTCTCCAAACACAGACCGGTCCCCTGGACTTGAACGCCAGCAAATTAAACATCCGTCATCTCTTTTTATTTCTTTTATATTTATTTATTTATTTATTTATTGAGACAGAGTCTCACTCTGTTGCCCGGGCTAGAGTGACGTGGCATCAGCCCAGCTCACAGCGACCTCAAACTCCTGGGCTCAAGCAATCCTCCTGCCTTAGCCTCCCAAGTAGCTGGGACTACAGGTATGCGCCACCATGCCCGGCTAATTTTTTTCTATATGTTTTTATTTGGCCAATGAATTTCTTTCTATTTTTATTAGAGACAGGGTCTTGCTCTTGCTAAGGCTGGTTTTGAACTCCTGACCTCGAGTGATCCTCCTGCCTCGGCCTCCCAGAGTGCTAGGATTACAGGCGTGAGCCACAGGGCCTGGCCAACGTCCATCATCTCATTACACGGTTCTCAGCGAGTGGTTTCCCTCACACACAACATGCGAACGAGCGCACACATACCCTTTTCACCCACCTCCACTCTCACACTCACACACGCTCGTTCACACGCTCACACCCACTTATCCTCACACCCAAATTCTCTCCTTCTTCTACAGACTCACACGTTCACTTACACGCATGTGTGCACTCTTGCACGCACGCACTCACATTCCTCTCGCAAACCCACACACTCACTCGTTCTGTCTCTCACACACACGCACTTGCAGTCACACCCATTCTCTCTCACTCACACACACACACACACACACACACACACACACACGCGCGCGCACACTGCTGGCACATCCCCCGGCCCACAGTGAGGGCTGGGCGAAGGTCAGGCATGCTGAGAAAACCACGCGGACACCCAGCGGTTCTCCACTTCTTCCCTGCAGCCACTCGGCAACGCCGCTAAACACATCGGCGTTTGGGATTAGCAATACGTCCCCACGGTTCTCAATACAAAGGTCACACAGAGCGTGCCTGGACAGTCTCCCTGCCGTCCTGTGCCAGCGCCGCCCTCCTGTGCGGTCCTCACAGCACTGCGTGGGCCTCTGCAAGCAAAGGGACAGCGTGTCGGGACGCTTGTCTCTCCCTGCGCGGCCTGTGCTCGCCCCTCTTCTGCACGGTTAGCACTCCTCTGCACACGCCAGCTTTCCAGCCCTGCGCCGCCCAGGACAGTAGCCACCGCCACGTGTGGCTGTTCAAATGAATTAAAATTTTTAAAAAATTCAAAATTCCAAGACTCGGGCGACGAATCACGTTTCAAGCACTCAGGAGCCACGCGGGGTCGGTGGCTACCATATCCTACCACGCAGATCGGCACGCTTCCATCCTGCGGAAAGTTCTGTTGGACAGCACTGTGCTGGCCGTCACGAAGACGTCTCGGTGCTTTCCCTCTGCAGAGAGGTGGGTTTCCGGTAGATTCCCAGGTGTGGAGTGGTCGCTTTGGAAAGGGCAGGAGCCTGTGGAGCTCAGGCAGCCGGCTCAAAACAGGTCCTGCAGGTTCCAGGTGGAGATGGCGGTAAAACAGGGCCTGGGCAACCTTGAACCTGGAGTGTCCGGAGTGCAGGAAGCCAATGGGGTGCAGAAGGTCGAGAACCCCACTGGTGGGGATAGAGAGGTCTCCCCTCTCCCTCTCATCAACCCTCCTCCTCCACTGCCCACGGGGGCTTGGTTGGATTCTGCCAGCCATGCGGCATTTCAGAAAAAGAAATCGTTTTCCATTAACTTGGTTTAAGATCATTCGAAAACAATCTTTTTGCAATGAACGAGGGGTCTCTAGGCAGTGGCATACCTAATGTATCTGACTCTTGGAGATCATTTTCATAAACACCTTCCTCCTCTGTACAACAACACTTTCAGTAATAGTTGCATTTTTGGGTTTTTTAGTTTCAATGCAATTAACAAATAAAAGAATACGTTTCCCTTTTCAAGTCATTGTTTAAATTCAGTAAAAGATTTCATGTAAAAACTAAAATTTTCACTTTCTAAACAAAAATGTTATACCATGCAGGTTGCATCTGCCTCACTGTTTGACCCCTGAGATAGATTCTTGTCTTTCTTTACAGCATGAAAAAATGCACATGGGTTACACACACACACACACATGCCTACACATACATGGAAGTACATGTACTATTTTGTCAAAATGTGGGTATATTGACATGCGAAGTCAAATACCAGGAATTTGAGGTTAATTCTTTCCTTGCAGCTTTTCTTCCCAGCTTGCTTAAGAAAATCAAGCCAGAGCCTGGGCAGTCAGACAGGTTAGTGTCTGCGTGACAGTTTCACTTGGCGGGTGGCAGACTTTGGGGGGGGATTTGTCCTCACACAACTCCCCACAGCATTCAAGCCAGTGGCCTGGAGCACAGGTGAGTGAGGCGGGCTCTGGACACTGCCCACCTGCAGAGAGCTGCCCCCCCTGGAAGTCACCAAGGGACATTTTTTGGTCCCTCTTCGTGCCTTTCTTATAGGCTGGCCATGAGAATAAAATTAAGTATATGTAAAGCACAAGTATACAGAAGGTGCTTAATAAATGCTATTTCTCTTCACCCTCTCCACCTTAGTCCTCTCATTCCCACCCTTAATTTTAGGCAACTGGGGAGAAAACTGCCGTCGAACATCATTTCAAACTAACAAGGCCCGTTAGGGGGTTAGATTCTTCCCTTTCCCCTGTGAGCACTGGGAGGTCCTCTTGTCTCCAACCTCCACATTTGGTTGCCACCCGCACAGCCAAAGGAGGGGGAGTTTCCCAGTGCAATAAAAATATTGTTATAGAATACAGAATTGAGTGGTTTTTCTGGGATGATAGTAAAGCTCTCGTTTTAGATTCCTGTTCACTCACTCATTCATTCATTCATGGTGCGCTGGACAGCAGGGACTTCACAATGAGCAAAGTAGACGTGGTCTCCACCTCTGGGGCTCCAGACCCCTCTGTTTTATTGAAGTACAATCTATGTGCAGTAGAAGGCACTCTTTTTAGTGGAAAGTTCTGCGGGTTTTGAGAAATACACGTATAGTTGGTAGCCTCCCCCCCGGGACGGTGCTGTCATCCCCTCTCTGGTTTTCTCGGGCCCTTTCGTAGACAGCCCTGCCCCCACCTCCAGCCCCTGGCAGCCACCGTTCTGTCCTCTGTCTTTTCCAGAGTGTCCTGTAGGTGGAACCACACGGGACGTGGTCATCTTTGCGCCTGGCGGCTGCCGCGCAGCTCAACACACTTGAGATTCGCCCGTGCTGTTGGGAGTGGCATTGCTGAGTGGCATTTCCTGGTACGGATAGACCGGACCATTTTATGTCACCTTGGGGACAAAGTAAGAAAGAAAACTACCCACCTTGACCAAATTGGCCCCAGCTAATTGAGTCTAAGGGATGGACTACGTTAATTTTTCTGCCATAGGACCTAGTGAGGGCTAGCAAGGCAAGCTGGTTGTCACAGAAAGGTGAAGTGGCCGCTTCCTGCGTCCCAAATCTGTGGGTTGTGAAATTCATATCCATTTGTTGGTTTTGCTTTTGTCTTTTGTTTTTTTTTTTTGATTTGGACAGTATGACCCCGGCTGGCCTGTAAGTCAACAAGGGCCCTGCTAAAAGTCTCTGTCTGCCCTCAGGCTTTGTGACACCAGTGCTGAGTCATAGAGGTCCTGCTCGTCCGTAAGAGAAGCCCTCTCCCCCTTCCTGCTGACGCCTTTGCCCCCATGGGTTGGGTTTTGCCCAAGTGGGGCCGATAGGGGAGGATGGAGTTTCTTGGGACCTCTCAGACCGCCAGTTACTGTGGCCCAAAGAAAACCTGCGGCATGAGCTCCCAGTCCTCGACTACAAAGACCTCTGCAGCCCACGAGTGCTACCAGCCCTTCCACCTGCCCGGGTGCCGCTACGTCAACTCATGGAGGCCCAGCCTCTTCTACAGGCTCTCTGACACCCAGAACTGCCCGGAGGAGTGTCCCAACACCATGCGGCCATCTACCGTCTTGCCTGCCCTCCGCTCCGCTCTCTTCTGCCGCTACACCCCCAAGGACTGGGACCGGTCCAACCAGCTGCAGCTACTCGGGGCTGAGGCCTCCCGGCTGTGGGCTGGCCGGCTGGGGGGCGACTCCATGCGGCTCATGCAGGACAAGGACCAGCTGACACGCCAGATGCAGGAGGGCACCTCCCGGAACCTGTGCCAGAGGCTGTCGGACATCGGCTACTGGAAGTCAGAGCTGAACTATGAGCTGGAGAGACTTGTGACCGAGCAGCACAACATGGACACAGCAAGGAAGCGGGTGGAGTGCGCAGCGGAACAGATAAACTGCCCACTGCAGGTGAGCACCGCGGTGGGGACCGAGCTGTGGCGGCCGCCGCCCGCAATGTGGGTGCAGTGCTCACGCTCCCCTGCTCTTGGCTCAAGGTCAAGGTGACAGGCACCTTGCAAATTGGCGTGAGCTGCTTCATGTTGTATGGTCAGTTACTAAGGGGAAAATACAATCGTAGTCGATTCGGGCTGGTCCCACATATCAGGTTGGATTTTCTTCTCTACTTGGGGCTACGTCAGAGCTGCAGGGGGCTCGTTAAGACATTATGTGGATGCGTGTGCATGTGTGAGCAGGCGTGTGTGTCTGTTCGGGACCGTAGAGTACATAACATAGCTGCTTTATTTTTCTTTATGATACTTATCCACTAATGTACTCTATTATTGATTGATTGATTGATCGATTGGTGTTTTTGTCCCCGCCAGAGTAGGGCTCCATCAGGGCAGAGATTTTTGTGCACTCTGTCACCATTGTATCCAAGACCAGTACTCAGCGGCAGGGCACCCCTAGTGACCAATGTCTGTGCTGCTGACTATTGTCTAGACCAACGTTTCGAGTGTGTTCCCAGCCTAGGACAGGGCGAGGCACACAGTAGGCATTCAATAAGTATCTGTTGAATAATAAATGAATAATCCCTAAATGTGGATATTCCTGACACTCCCTTGGTCTCCAAGTCTCCAGGCGTAGTTAAGATTGCTGTGGCTGCAGGGGACAGACGACCAATGGCAGTGGCTCAGCCAGATGGGGGCCTCTTTTTCTGCCATAATGAAAATTTGAGGGGGAAAGAGATCAGGCTGCTGCAGGCTCCACTCGATGCCAGGAGGAGCCGGGCTCTCTCTTTCTGCTCTGCCACCCAGGGCATGTGGCTTTTGCCCTATGGTTTGGGCTTAGGAGGAGGTTTCCTATTTCTCAGTGCACATGCCTGTGGTGCCGGAGCCTTTTCTCACTACGGGCAGGAAGGTCGGGACAGGGTCTGTCCCTTATCTGTTTTTCCAGAAGGCCCACCATGTGTTTCTGTTTTTAGCCCCTTTGCCGGGACTCACGTCTCCCATGGAAGGAGGGGCTGGGCGGCCACTGTGTGAGGGACCCGCAGCGTCTATGTGAACTAAGCTTGGCCACACAGGGTGATGTGCTGCTGCTCTCTGGAGTGTGCAGGGGACCAGGGACCTCCTGCCTGGAGCCCTCCTGTGGCCGTCTCTGCCCCATGCTGGGGCCGGGGCTCCTGTGGGAGGGGTCCTGCCTCCAGATGCCCCTGGGAGACCTGGCGTAGGTTCCTGCCACTCTGGGGTTCCCAACCCCAGGTGGGGGAGGAGGAGTCCACTGTTCCCTTCCCCCCCACCCCTGGATTTTCCCCTGAGGGAAGGGAGGGCAGGGCTGCATCCCAAATCTATTGCTCGCCCCCGGCCCCGCCCCTGTCCCCTGCACTCTCTTCTCGCTGCCTGGCCTGTCTGGAAAGCCCAGCTCTGCCCGGTCACCCGAGGCCTCCTCTGATCTGCCACGTGGTGGCACAGGAACCAGAGACATCTCAATTTTGTCTCCTGGGCTGCCCCCTCAGTCCAGGAAGCTTCTCCCAGGACAGTGGCGACCGCCTCCTTCCTGGTCTCCCAACCCCTACTCTTGCCGACCCATCCTCAACACAGCAGCCAGAGGGGTGATTTTAAATGTTAAACTCTCCCACTGGCTCCCTCGATGGCCTCCCGGAAATTGACTTCTTAATTCCTGAGTTCCTCTGCCCCTCCCTACCCCTGTCCCTGCTACTGCTCCAGCCTGGCTCTCTCCACCCCAACCCATGGCTTCCTGTATGTTACTCTGCCGACCGCAGGGCCTTTACACCTGCTGTTCCCTCTCTTCTTGGTGTGCTGTTCCTGCTCACCTCTGCGTCTCTGCTTCTCATGATTCGGGTCTCAGTCTGTCTCCTCCCTGGCCACCCTGCGGGTCACTCCCCACCCACCCACTCACACCTCCCTGATTATTTTCCTTGCAGCCCTTGTCACAGTCAGGATGATCACGTTTCTTTGTGTGTGTTCTGTCCCCTCTGTCAGAACGCAGGCTGCACGGGAGCAGGGCCCCTGTCTGCCTAGTTCACTGTGCTGCCTCCAGCACTGTACAGTCTAGGGAGAGGGAGTACAGGCTAGGGAGAGGGAGTACAGTCTAGGGAGAGGGAGTACAGTCTAGGGAGAGGGAGTACAGTCTAGGGAGAGGGAGTACAGTCTAGGGAGAAGCTGCCTGGACTGAGGGGACAGCCCAGGAGACAAAATTGAGTGTGGCTCAGAGAAGGAGCACTGTACTCCCTCTCCTTTCTGAGCTCCCATATGCATTTGTACCCCGACATCCAGACCTCAGTGTTCCCGCTTCCTTCTCGCTCCTGCTGCCCTTTGTGATGTCACAGGCTGATGGCCAATCACCGTTGTTCTTCAGTCTCCCCTGGCAGAGCACCCCCAGTGGCCCCTTCTCCTGTCTGCTCTGCTCTGCCCAGGTCTCTATGACAGCTGGGAGGCCCAAGGCTGCGTGGCAGGGTCTCCTGGTCCCACATGGCCCTGACCACTTCCCAAAGCTGTCCCCCCACTGGGAGATCTCCAAAGACGGTTTTGCATATATGTTCACAGATCGTATTTATGCACAGTATTCTGAGTACTTTACACTTGTCGAGCTGCCTTCACCTGCATGATAAACCTGTAGGGTATGCACCGATATTGCACTCATCTGCAGATGAAGGAACAGAGGGTCAGGGAGGCTAAGTGATTCGCCTAAGTGCACACAATAGGACGTGGCTAAGCCTGGGTTTGAGCTCGAGAGAGAGGCACAGACAGGACAGCAGCCCATACTGTCTTGTCTGGAACGACGCTGGAGTTTTACTCTATTTATCGTTACAGTTCGGGAGGCTTGGGGGCCACTGATGGAGGTTGTGGGAATCACAGTTGGCTCCCAGCACACGGCTTTGTCTTGCTTTCCCTCCCTGGGCCTTGCATCGCCTAATGCATCAGCCCGAGCATCCCACAGCCCCCACTGGGGGACCAGGGGAGCTGGAAGCCCACCTAAGGCACAGAGATGGGGTCCCACGCAGCACCCGGGTTTCTCAGAGGAAAGAACAGGTTGTGGCAAAGGTAGACGTGCGTCATCCCCTCTCTGGGGCGACACACGGAAGGATCCGCTCTTTCCCGCCATTCCCTACAGGTGGCCCTGGAGTGTCTGTACCACCGAGAGAAAAGAATTGGGATTGATCTGGTCCATGACAACGTAGAGAAAAACCTTATTCGGGTAAGGCGCCTGCCGGGTCTGCCCAGCCCCGAGGGAGGCAGCTGGGCCAGCTGGTTTCTGAGAAGCCACACGTGTGACCCTGTGGAAAGTTAGGGCTCAGGAAGCATGGGTGGGGGCCTAGGCTGCAGTTAAGAATAGGGAGAAGTGGGGTCATTCGAGCCTCAGTCTTTTCATCTCCTAAATGGGCACAAGTACTAATAGACGAATAATGATAATAGAAGCTAGTGTCTATTAAATACCTGCTGTATGTCATATGCAGTACCACTTCATATACATCATTTAATTTAATGTAAACTAATCCAGAAGCAAGCACCTGGCACATAGTAGGTGCTAAATTTTCTTTTAATCTAAAGTTCTATAAAAATAAAAGAAAGTGGGCCAAAGAGCCCCAAGTGGGGTCACGTGGATTGAGGCAGGAACCCCACCATGACATTTCACCTTGTGGGGTCAAGGGTAGATGTGAGAGGTGAGGGGTGAGGGCTCTGGGCTGGGAGACAGGACGGTGAGTTTCTAAGGGGCTTCACTCTTTCTGACATTTTTCATTTCAGGAAGTAGATTTGCTAAAATGTTGCCAAGAGCGGATGAGAAAATTAGCTCAAAGAATTGAACTGCAAATGAGGTAAGGGGTTCTTTCTCTCCCTCTCCTTGGGTTGGTTTTGGGACTCCCAGGTTTCTGGCTGCAAGCCAGGTGGGCTCGCTTGTGTCTGGACGGTTCTTTTGGTCAGTGGTGTGCTGGTGAATGCTTAACCACCAGCTCTCCAGGGGGTGGGGGTCAGGGGGAAGAAGGTCCTGATTTGTAGGATTTGCCCATTCCTGTGGTGTAAATGCTACCACAATGGCTGATTTCAAGCTACTAAGACGATGTTGTTGAGATGTGCGGCATTGACTCGCATGAGCTAGGGCATCACTGGTTGCTCTTGTTTGTAACGAGGGCTCTGGCGAAAGAGGATTGGCCTCTCTAGAACCTCTCTTGGCCTGTGGGTTCCCCATGTGAGTTCTGAACCTTGGGAGATGGCATCAGGTAGCCAGGCCAGGGGCTGGGACATCTCGGGAAGGCAGCTGGTAGGTGCTTTGAGCCAGGAGTCTTCAAAAGAAATCAACGTTTTGTTCTTAGGTTGTGCAACCGCATGACAAGCCAGGAGGCCCCTCTCATAATTAAAGGGAGGCTCCAGTTTTACGGGGCTTGAGGCTGATAGCTAAACCCTGGGCACCGGCTCCCAGGAGGCAGCTTCCCCACCTCAACCCGCAGCTCGCCTTGAACTCTTCCAGGGCACGCTGTCCTGCAGGTTTCCCTCTCTGACTAGTGACACACAGAGGCAGACGGCAGGGGAGGGGCCGGCAAGCTGGCCAGGGCTGCGCCTCCTGCTGCGTGGTGGACGTGGGCAGCCTCGTGGGTGGAAGGGGACAGGCAGATTCCGGACGGGCTCTGAGAGCTCGCGTCCTGGTTTGCTGTGCCCCAGAATCACCTCCCCCTCCAGGAGCCCTTGGACTCCCCTGAGGGTTCGACCTGGGTGTCAGGGATGAGAACGAATCAGCCAGAACAAAAAGGGGGAGACAGTGCAGAAAAGCTGCCTGGACGGCAAAGGGCTCGGCCGGGCAGACAGGCCGGGGAGGCCCCGGGAGTCACTGGAGCTGGAGGTGTGCAAAGGAGACGCAGACGCAGCGGAGGTGACAGCTAAAAGGACAAACGCAGTCATTCGTGTGCCTCTGTTCTGATTTCTCGCCATTCCACCTAAACCTGGACTAGTGTTACCTGCAGTTTGTCTACAAATTAACTCACTTAAAAAACCTTAAATACTTGCATTTAAACAGGCAAATTTTAACAAAGGGCCAATGCTGTCCAAACAGCATGCTTTTGTTTTATTGTATTTTTCTTGCAGTTATTTTTTAAAATTTATTTATTCATTTTTAATAAAAATAGTATATACTATATTTATCATGTACAACCTGATATTTTGAAATATGTATGCATTGTGGAATGGCTAAGTCAAACTAATTAATGTATGCATTACCTCACATATGGATCATTTTTTTTGTGTGGTGAGAACACTTAAAAATCTCTCTTCGTGATTTTCAATAATATAATACACTGTTACTAACTATGATCACCATGTTGTACTTGAACTTATTCCTCCTCCCTAAATGAAATTTTGTATCCTTTGACTAATATCTCCCCAACCACCCCCCCAGCTTCTGCTAATCACCATTGCACTATCTGCTTTTGTGAGTTCAATTATTTTAAATTCCACATGTAAGTGATCATGAGATATTTGTCTTTCCATGCCTGGCTTATTTCACTTAATGTAATGTCCTCCAGGTTCATCTATGCTGTGGCAAATGACAGGATTTCCTTCTTTTTTAAGGCTGAATAATATTCCATCATGTATATATACCACGTTTTCTTCATCCCTTCATTTGTTTTTGGACACTTGGGTTGATTCTATATCTTGGCTATTGTAAATAGTGCTATAATAACTTTGCCCATTTTTTAATTGGGTCATTTGTTTCTTGCTATTCAGGTGTTTGAGTTTCTAATATAGTTCGGATATTAACCCCTTATCAGATGTATGGTTTGCAAATATTTTCTCCCATTTCTTAGGTTGTCTCTTCATTCTGTTCATTGTTTCTTTTGCTGTGCAAAGGCTTTGTAGTTTGATATCCCATTTGTCTATTTTTGCTTTTATTGCCTGTGCTACTGGACTCATGTCCAAAAAAGTCATTGCCCAGACCAATGTCTTAGAGCTTTTCCACTATGTTTCCTTCTAGTAGTTCTACAGTTTCAGGTCTTACGCTTAAGTCTTTAATCTATTTTGGGCTGGTTTTTGTACATGGTGTGAGATAAGCTTCTAAGTTCATTCTTCTGCGTGTGCATTTCCAGTTGTCCCAACACCATCTGTTGAAGAAGCTGTCCTTCCCCCATTGTGTGCTCCTGGCATCTTGTTGAAAATCGATCGACTGTAAATGTGTGGACTTATTCCCGGCTCTCTATTCTGTACTTTCCTCCACTTTTTTTTTTGTGATCTCCTATTTATGTCAAGAGAGAATGGTTTTCCATTCGTGACTGACCCACGGACGTGGCAAAACATGGCGTCGGGGAGGGCGGGGAGGCTGATGCTTGGGCAATGGGACGGCTGGAGGGGGCAGAGTGAACAGACCCCAGACTCGAAATGCGGAGCTGGGTCCCAGAGGGGAGATCCTGGGAGCAGGGTAGGGAGGCTGCTTGTGCAATCCCGGATGGTGAAACAAGACGCAGGGGGGAGCTGCAAAACTGGGGAGACTGAGGCAGACAGAGACAGTCCCAGAGACTGAGAGACACAGAGGGAAACAGAACGAGCACTGATATCAAGAGAGACAGGGAGACACGAGGAGATACACAGAGACAGAGATGGGGAGAGGGAGACAAAGGGCCAGAGAGAGCCAGATGTGCCAGGCGGGGCATGGAGAGGCGAGACGGAGACGGAGGAAAACAAAGGGATGGAGACAGACATGGAGAAAGAGGGAAAGACGGGGGGGACGTGCTGGGATAGAGGCTGAGAGAGAAAAGCAACTGTGGCAGAGAGAGGAGAGAACCGGGCAGAGCGTGTGGGCGAGGGTGCCAGCAGGCGGCGGTGGCGCTGCCCTCGGCAGGGCCGGGAGGTGGAGCCGCCCTGGACAGAGGGTGTCGGGCCCCGGGCAGTGGCCGCTTGTCAGAGGACGCAGTCCTCCCTCGGGGAGGCAGTGCATGCAGCTGGAGGCATCAGCCGGAACCTGTCAGCCAGGCAGTGCTCGCTGCATCCCCACCCTGCCGCTGGCCTGCTCGGGTGGCCACCCTGCCACGTGGCTTTCTGTGAGGCCTGAGGCCACATCTGGCCAAGGCAGTGTCCTCACTGCACCAGGCGCCCCGGCCAGGCAGGAAAGGCAGGTGTGGACGGTGGGCGGAGCACCTTCCCGGGAGTCCAGGGACCCGGCCGGCAGCCCCGCCCGCCGTGCGAGCTTAGGTGAGGGGCTCCGGTGCGCTCGGTCCAGGACGAACCCTTCCCTCTGCAGGGACAACCGCAACGCTCAGCACACATTGGAGAAGGACCTGGAGGACAAATGCTCAGCCCAGTTCATTGATCAGAAGTGCTACAACATGAGGAACACATCAGAGTGCATCGGCTACTTCCACGGCGTGGAGAAGGTGGATGGCACGTGAGTACCGGTGC